ATCACGCTTCATGAACTCCTCGCGCTAAGGCAATGCTCTTAGCTCAAGGAGTGGGGAGCAATTGATGGAGGACGATTTGACCCGACCTATGAAACGGTGACACGTGGACATTGACTCAGCACGAGCGACAGCTCAGCATTGTAGCCTAGTGCAACCAAGTGACGGGCCCATAAAGCAGCTCGCTACATCGTAGCTCACAAAAGGAGGAGCTCGCCACAACGCGAGCTCCAGGTTCCCCGAGCTACCTTTGAAGGGATACTCCGAGGCAACTTTAGCTCGTGAACTAGGGGAACTAGCTCGCCCGAGCTCCCAAGCAGATAAGTCATCCCAAGGACCAATTCTATTAAGGGTAATCCTGAAGTGTTCCGAGCTTGCTACAAAGTAGCTCGCGAATTAGCCGCATGGGTGCTCCTCAGGAAGCTTCTATCTGACAGACCGTACTGATCAGACTGTGCCACGTCCCTTACTGACGGCGCAGTCCCCATCCTTTCGACAGTCTGCATCCACGTCTCTCAACAGGCGGAGGCGTGCCTGCCACTTTGGAGACGTGACACTCACCTAGGCGAGAAGTACGTCACAACGGCCACCTGCGTAGCCTTGGCAGGTAACGACTGTGGCGGTTATTCCCGACAATGCCCCATTAAAAAGCCCTTAGGGCAGAAGAGAAACTTCTTCTTGAGACTTCTAATTTCTCGAGTATAGTGATAACACGCTATCTACACTCTTAGCCTTCGTCTTCTCCTTGCTTCTCCTACAAAGTACTAACTTAAGCACCGGAGTGTTCCCGTCGGGCAAGCCCCCGTGGATTCTTCTTCTTCTTCTTCTTCTTCTTCTTCATCTCAGGTATCTTTCAGGAGCCACGTGAGTGCCAGATAGGAGTGACCGGATCGCGCTACATCAGAATTCTAATTGAGTATCGAACTTTCAAAGTCCAATGATGGCCCTAGCAGATTGGGCCCAAGCTAAACAACTCATAATAAACTAGACGTGAAAGTTATATGCACATATGGTTTAGATAACAAATTTCATATTAATATATATAGAAATGTAAAAAATATTTTTTAATTTGTAAAAAAAATCATAGTTTTATTATTAACACGGGCAAGCTTGTAGGCTGAGACAAATATTATTACACTTAAGGTGTGGGTTGGGTTAGGCTAGGCAACCTTAAAAACTATTGATGATGCACGATTTGAACTTTCCTGGCTGGAAGGCAGCTCGGACGTTGGACTAACATGAGGTTGGTCAAACTGCAAGAAAAATAGTATTAGAGGTCCCGGGGTGCTTTACTCGGTGTGGGTACTCTGATGCTTAAGTTAACGAAGAGTGTTGTAGCCAGTTGGTTTGCTTGTAAGCATAAGAGTACACGGTCTAGGCTCGGGCCTAGCCCTTATGTAGCCTAAACCCGATCCAATTATATACATTTATACATATATGTATATATATGTAAATATTGCATACATATTTACATATATATATATATGTGTATGTATGTATGTATATTTGTATATATATATATATATATGTATATGTATATACATTTGCATAAATACATTTATATATGTATAATTTTAGAGTGGGTTCATTGACCAAACCATGCCCAAGCCCAACTCGAGTGCATCAAATTACAGGGAGGATATGAGACCTTTATATGGGCATTGTTTGGCGTGGGCTTCACGCACCACGTCCGAGATTTCCGGGAAGGCATGCTTGATTGATCCAAAGTCCTCGGAGGTAGTCGCGCATGTAGACAGGCTTTGTGCCTTATTTGGTTTCTGTCGGAACATTCAGTGTGGGAGCTGACTTCTGAGAGACCCGAGAGTGACAAGAAGCATGTAAAGGAGGTCAGCAAGCATGTCTCGCAAGGTTGCCACCTAGACCTCAGTTAGGTCGGCAAGTCCTCAAGGGAGGTTGCTCCTTATGCCAAGGTCACTTCGACCGGTACTAATGGGGTACTACAGGTCGGCAAGTCCTTGAGGAGGTCGCTCCTCACGCCGAGGTCCATTGGACTGGTAACGATGAGGTACCATAGGTCAGCCCTGGACGAGGTGCTGCTAGCCGCCCTACCGAGGTGTCCGAGTTGTGTACGAGGTGCTCAAACTTGTTTTGAGGTGTTCCACCTTGACTTAGTGGGATCCGCAACTGTTCATGTGGTGCTGAGGTGTCATGTAGTGGTCCTGTTGTGCCATATGTTTTTAGGTTAGCAGAGGGCCAAATCTACCCTCATCAATTACTAATGCACTATCAAAATTTAGCCTAGGATTTTTATTTTTTATTTTTGGTTCATTGGGCTACACAAATGGGTTACACTTGGTTTAGTTTAATCTAACTACAAATGTTACGATACATGCAACTTGGGTGGGTTGGGTTAGGATGAGGATTAATCGAAGCCTAATCCAAAGTCTTAAACGTTTATTATGTCTAAAAAAATAACTATAAATTAATTTAATTATGACTATAACTTAATTTTATATATTTACTGATATTTAAGTATTTTAAATATTTAAGTGATATTTATAAACAATTGGAACATTGAATTGAACCTTAAGTCTACGGGACCAAATTTCTGAAGGGCTAGCTAGATTTTTTATTCAAAATTGTACCTAATAGACACCCATCATCGGATATGAAAACTTGCTAGAATTTTTCATCATCAGAAATAAAAGGCCATAGAGGGCCAAACTGAAAGAAGTGTTCCTCGTTTTGCGTGGGCAGATTGGTATCTCTACAACGTATGGAAAATTAATCAAAATGTTAAGAAAGGAATGGTAAAAGAGACTTTTTGATGATTTTACTAGATATAACCGTGATAGGGGAGGTCTTGGTCCTTTTTGAAAAGAGAGGGGAAGTCTTAGTATTAAGCATAAATGTTAGGGGAGGTTTAAGTCCCCGTTTGGTTCGTAGGAATAGGGGTTTGGAACCGGAATCGGAATGGGCTATTCCGATTCCAATTGTTTGGTTGGATAGAATAGGAATCCCATTCCCATTCCCATTCCTTTGGAATGGCATTCTCCCATTTGAGGGAATGGGCATTCCTTGCCCCTCCCTTGCTTATTCCATTTCTCATTCTCATTTCTATCTGAACCAAACAAACTATGGGAGTAGACCATTTTAATTCTGATTCCAAAGGATTTCGACTCTGATGCCGATTGCAAACCAAACAAACCTTAGTCTTTTACCCTAATGATAATAAATAATGTGTCCAAAATTTTTTATAAAATTCATGTTTGCTTTTATACTTTTTGTTTTTTATTATTAATTGGATGGAAATTGCAAAATCCAAATTCAATTACGTAAGCACCTCATATTGGACTACAAAGTTTTGGGTACCATTGATTAGCCTACCTATTTGACTGATTCTTCTTTGTGTAATGTTTTATCTTCTTAGTGTATCTTTTTTTTGTTCATATATCAAAAAAATACAAGATTTAAAGAGACGAAATTGAATGAGGTGAAAGTAATAGTTCAAGATTTAAAGACTTAAAGAGACGGAATTGAGTGTTGTAGCTAGCTGGTTTGCTTGCACATACCTTCTCTCTCAGGTAGGGGTGCAACTTAGGCGGGCCCAACTCGAGCCTGAACGGCCCAACCCAAAATTTTACACGGGCTAGGCTCGGGCCTAGCCCTTAGGTAGCTTGAACCCGGCCCAATTATATACATTTATACATATATGTGTATATATGTAAATATTGCATATATATATATGTATGTATATATATTTGTATATGTATATATATTTGCATATATATATATATCTAGACATATATGCCAAAATATGTATATTTGTATATATAACTTTTGTATAGATATTTTACATACATAAATATATGTATACATATTTGCATAAATACATTTATATATGTATAATTTTAGGGTGGGTTCATTGACCAACCCGAGCCCGGCCCGGGCCTAAGCCCAACTCGAGTGCATCAAATTATAGGGCGGGATGGGCTTGGGTTGACCATAAACCCAACCCAACCCGCCCAACTTGCACCCCTACTCTCAGGGAGGATATGAGACCTTTATATAGGCATTGTTTGGCATGGGCTTCACGCACCACGTCCGAGATCTCCGGGAAGGCATGGCTGACTGATCCGAAGTCCTCGGAGGTAGTCGCGCAAGTAGACAGGCTTTGTGCCTTATTCGGTTTCCTTCGAAACATTCAATGCGGGAGCTGACTTCCGAGAGACTCGAAAGTGACGAGAAGCATGTAGAGGAGGTCGGCAAGTCCTCGAGGAGGTCGCTCCTCACGCCGAGGTCCATTAGACTGGTAACAATGAGGTACCACAGGTCAGCCCCAGACGAGGTGCTGCTAGCCGCTCTGCCGAGGTGCTCGAGTTGTGTACAAGGTGCTCAGACTTGTTTTGATGTGTTCCACCTTGACTTAGTGGGATCCGCAACTGTTCATGTGGTGTTGAGGTGTCATGTAGTGGTCCTGTTGTGCCATGTGTTTTTAGGTCAACAGAGGGCCAAATTTACCCTTATCAATTACTAATGCACTATCAACTTGGTTTAGTTTAATCTAACTACAAATGTTACTGCGTGCAACTTGGGTGGGTTGGGTTAGGATGTGGATTAATCAAGCCTAATCCAAAGTCTTAAACCTTTATTATGTCTAAGAAAATAACTATAAATTAATTTATTATGACTATATCTTAATTTTATATATTTATTGATATTTAAGTGATATTTACAAACAATTGAAACATTTAATCATTAATAAAGTAAAATAAATAAAATAAAACATTAACAAATAATATGAAAAATAATTATTTTATTAAGTAATTAACAATAATTTATTTTTTTATTAAAAATATTAATATAATTAATTTAAACTATTAAATTACTAAATTAATAAAATATTTTTATAATAAATTATTAAAATAAAGATTTAATTATTTAAATATTACAATCTTTATTTCACTTTTCTTGATAAATCCCGTGCCTCGCACGGGTCCCCGCTAGTAGATTATTATTTTTGAAAGGTCGCCGAGTTCTTCCCTCTTCAACATTAGTAGGGAATCCATTCAATTGACTTTGAAGACAAAAGGAAAAGAGTAGAAGAGCGATACTCTAACGCTAAAGAAGGGGATATCGATGGCGGTGATGGAGAAGCTTAAGATGTTCATCGTTCAAGAGCCGGTGGTCGCAGCTTCATGCCTCATCGCCGGTGTTGGTAAGTTTTCACTGCTATTGAACCCTAATTTCAGGAGCTGATCTTTGTCCCTCTTGATTTTGTTCGATTAATTAATCATTTATTCTTTTATAAGTTTTCATACAATGCAACGAGGATCTAGAAAACGTAACTGGAACTGAGCAAATAATCTGTTTAAGATTGAAGATTAAATGGGGGTTGATTATTCACCGTTGGAATTGTGTTCTTTTTTCTAACATTTTCCTAATCGACTTGATGTTCTCAACGATTAGATTTTTTTTTTTATTTTTATTTTTATTTTCACTCAGGGATTCATGGCATTCACGCATGTAAGCGCAAAAATATTGTTCCTAAGATATTTTACAGATTGCTTTTCAAGGTGATGAATAATACCAGTATTGTAAAGACTCAGTAATGACTAATGACCTACAGAATTTTTTGGGGCTTTTCTAAATCATTATCGTCGATGACAGATTATGTTTCCCCTAGTCTTCCTTTACCACTAAAAAATTCTTACGGGGTTGTAAGGCTCTTGACCAAGTGAAGGTCCATTTTAGAGGGCTCAAAACATCTCTTGCAATATTTATTGTTCGGTTTCTTTCATGTCTTTTTACTCCAGTCTGAATTCTCGCAATGAGGACTTCACTGTTCGAAGTATCTGGAAGTCTGCTTCTCCTTCCAAAGTAAAATCTTTAGCGTGGCCAGCTGCCCTAGGGAATCGTCTCATTCGAGACAAACTGATTAGCAGGGGCTAATCATCTTTCTATGCATTGCTACTTCACATCCGTGGTTTGTAGTACTGTCCTTGCACGTCTAGGTGGATTGGATGTTTACCACAATCCATATTGGCACTGTTGATGACTGGAAGCTTAGGGGCACAATTGTTTAGTCCCTTTGTCTGTATTCTGATGTGTATGGGAGGAGAGTAATGCTCAGGTGTTTTGAAAACATAAGCTCAAATGAGCAGGAGGTGCTAAGTAAATCAGGGAAAAGCTGTTCCCGTGGTTATCTGTAAATAAGAAGTTCAATGGTTTAGAACATACTAGATTTTTTGACAGGGATATCTTATTTTCTTGTTAATAGCCAGTTAATGGGAAATTTTATACATGGTTGTATTACAAGATGTATGCCGCTTTTTTGGTTTTTTGATTAATGAAATACTTTACCTTGTTTCCCCCCAAAAATGCTTTTTTTGATTATTTACAAAGGACCATTAATAGGCAATCAATTTAAGGAAGGAATTAGCAGTAGTGGCTTAATTGATGTTGTTTGAAAACATGAAGAATTAAAAGTTGCATGCTGCCTGTCTACAAGGCTATTTGCTTAAGGTTGTAGGATGGTAGGTACATATGTTCAAATTATTGGTTAAGAAATTGCACAGAGACTTGTATGGATTGAGGCATCTTGTCTTCTCTTATAGTAAATATAATACTTTTTGTCACTTATAAAAAATGCACATAGACTTGGACAGTTTTTTTGATAAGTAATGGAAATTTTATTAAAGATAATAAATTACAAATGCAGCCCCAAATAGGTACAAATTTTATTAATGACTGTTTCCCACAAAGAGGTGCAGGGTGCAGCCTCAAAACAAAACAAAAATTACAAATGAGCCCCAAATAACTGATTCCTATGCACTCCTTGCTTAGCTAGACGATCTGCCAATCCATTTGCAGATCTCCTTTCCCACTGAATTCCGACTTTTAAACTTGTAGTTAGCCATCTGAATCTTCTCATAGCCCCCTATAGGACCAAGGTGCAACTTGTACTGCTTTCTTCAGCAAGGGTGGTGTCTTAATACTAGTTTTGACCTCGTTGTATTCTAGTTCATCTTTGGCCAAGATTTTTTTCTGTAGCTTTGTAGAAGAACGAACATCTAAGAAACTTGGTTTTATTAAATTTCAAGGAGGCAAGAGGGTCAAGTGCTGCAATGCAGCAACAAAACAACTATTTTGTGCAGATAACAACAAGAGGATATGATAATATAGAGGATATCATAATGGTGAGACTGGCCTTTCATCTTTTTATTTCATTTCCTTTTGCTAACTTCATTTGGGAGTGGTTTTCCTCTCTGTTTGGTTGTAGATGGATTCCTCTTGCTAATTTGGAAAGCCTCTTTAGCTCACTCCTTCAGGTGTTCTAAAAGGAGAGGCAAACTTATGGGAAGATGCATTAGAGCAACATTTGCTTGGACAATTTGGGAAGAAAGAAATTTGAGGATCTTTGACGACAAAGAAAGAAGCAAAGAAGCTGTAGTTGAAGTGATAACTCTAAGGGGGATTAGCAGGGTGGTTGCTCCCTCGTGGGGTGCTTCCGGGGGGGGG